CATTAGAGAAGAACCTGTTGATGACATCGATTAATCACTTTCTTTTTTCTTTTTTGTTCTTTACTTCGTTTTTCTCTCCAAACTGCTTTGACACCTTCCACTGCCACATCTGCCTTTCTGTCCTTGACACACATGCACAGTAGTGGTAACTGGGGTAGGCCGTGGACGTCACAAGACATTATTCAGACAGGCTCTGGTATCATGGCTACCTGGCAATGTACAGTAGCTTAAAAGTGTGGAATCATTTTAAGAAAATGAAAGAGAAACCTGTGCAATATCTGTAAGGCAGAACTTGCCTTCCACAGCAATTATTTTTAGTTAGCATATAGCTAATATAGTTCTTCTAATATGAGTTTAGAAAAAGAAACAATTTTTGGTTACCCTGTCTGACAAAGTTCATTAGGCATGTGATTAGTTTAGAGCCTCTGGTGGTCTGAAATAATTATAATATGCTTCATTAAATAATTGTTTCAAAATTAATAGCAAATCTGGATTTTTGAAGTTCATCAAGTTAGATTAGTTTATAAAAAAATTGGAATTAATTTTCAACATTGTTATACTGCCCCCTGAGGGGTCTAAACTGATGTTCTCCAATCCATGAAGCAGCTCTGCTGTCCTCCTCCTGCTTTTTCAGTGGCAGACTGAGTCATTTCCACATTCTCCTCTGTGTCAAAGCGCTCTGGTTTCTTTTCAAAGGAGTGATTGTCAGATACTGTCCAAGATTAAACTTCAGGGTAGATAAGAGCTCACACAGCCTCGCACCAGAAAGCCTAGTGAACATAATCATTTACTCATTATGCTCTGCTTAGTGCTATCCATGTGACAGCCTACAGTATTTTTAGTCTTGTTTTACATTTTAAGTAAACGTGTAGCAAAGCATGTCTAATTTAACAAGTAACTGTGGATCCCTTAAGGCTTTGGAAATATTCTCTATCCATCCGGATTACTGCTTTTCTTTAAGCTATAAATTAAAATGATCACTTAAAAGGTGATAAACATTTATGCAGTCATTTGTTGTATACAACTTCTTCTTTAGATTGTTCTTTTTATGTACAGTGCCCTGAGACAACGTATGTTGTGACTTGGTGCTATATAAATTGATTTGATTTGATTTGATTTATTTATTTAACAAGAAAAGATTACTAAAAATCAAGCCTGACTCAGCATAATTGCTGTTTTACAGCATGTTCCTGTTCTGCAGCATATAAAACACTCAGAAATACAGC